CTTTGATTTTCATCACTCTTCTTGCCTCTGGACTGAGAACAACTAAGAGTCGCACCTTAGAATGCTATACATAAACTTTTAAGACTCTAGTTGACGTTCACCCAAGTAGGATATAGAACATTGTTTGGGTTGAATCTATGGCAACTGACCTTGGACTTCCTCCAGACTATGCCCTGACTCTGGTGCAACAACTCACTTCCTCGTTTGGGTATGTGTAAGAAGTTTTTATAACTTTGCCCTTTGTATGCTCTACAATATTTATGGACAGATTTGCTCTTACTCAAACTCACTACTGTCGAGTTGATTCCAATTTATATATTGGCAGCAAAGGTAAATGCTGTTGTGAGATGCTGTCAAGTGGCCTCTGACTCACAGTGACTCACTGTAAAACAGAACAAAAGACCGCCTGTTCTGGCACCATCCTCATAATTCTTGTTATTTTTTAGTTCATTGATGTAGCCACGGTGTCAATCCATGCTCTTGATGGTCTTCCTCTATTGATGACCCCTACTCAAGTTAGCATGATGTCCGTTCCAGGAAATCATCCCTCTAATAATGTGCACAAAGTACAGGAGAGGAAATCCTGCCTTTCTGCTTCTAAGGAGCATTCTGCCTGCACCTCTTCTAAGACAGACTTTTATCCTTCTTCTGACAGCCAATGATATTTTCAACATTCTTCACCAACACCATAATTCAAACGCATCATTATGTTTTTAGCTGGCTTAGTCATTATCCAACATTCACACACAAATGAGAAGACTGACCATGCCACAGCTTGAGTCAGGTGTACCTTAGTCCCCAAAGTGCCATCCTTACTCTCCAACACTTTAAAGAGGTCGCATGGAACGGATTGCTCAATGCAATATTTGGGTTGACCTCCTGATTGCTGCTTCCTTGAGCCTTGATTATGGATCTAAGGATAATGAAATTCTTCCCCCATTTGTCATGATGCTCTGTGTTGGTCCAGTTGTGAGGATTTTTGCCTTCTTTATATTGAGCTGCAATCCACACTCTGGCCTACAGTCTCTGATTTTTATCAATAAGCACTTCAAATCCTTCATGCCTTCAGCAAGCAAGGTTGTGTCATCTGCATAGCTCAGGTTGTTAATAAGCCTTCTTCTGATCTTGACGCTACATTCTTCTTCATATAGTCCAGCTTCTCTGATTACTTGCCCAACATACAGATTGAATAAACATGACAAAAGGATATAACACTAATGGCGCTTTCCCTGATTTCAAACCATGCCATATTCCCTTATTCTGTGTGAACAACTGCCTCTTGGTCCATGTACAGGTTCTACGTGAGCACAGTGAAGTGTTCTGAAATTCCCATTCTTCTCAGTGTTATCTAATCTTTAGGTGATCCATATAGTTGTGTGCCTTTGCATGTCAATAAAAGAGAAGTGAACATCTTTCTGATATTCTCTGCTTTTAGTCAAGATCCACCTGACATCAGCAATGCTGTGTTTTGTGCCATGTCCTCTTCTGAATCCAGCTAGAATTTCTGAAATTTCCCTGCCAATGTTAATATTGTAATCATTTTAATTCTCATCAGCTAACTTTATTCTCCTGTGATATCAATGATACTGCTTGATCATGTCCACATTCTATTGGGTCTCCATTATTTGAAATACAAACATATATAGTTCTTTTCCAACTGATAATTGACCAGGTAACTGGCTTCCCAAACTCTTCATATAGACGAGTCAATGTGTCCCGTCTGCCATCAGCTTGTTGAAAATCTCAATCGGCATTTCCCCTATTCGTCAGCTTTCAAGGGGCTTATCCCTCAGAAGTGGGACCTATTTCCTTCTCCTTGTCTGTTCTTTGTCAGGAAGCTCCACTGAAACCCGTCCAGCATGGGCAACCCTGCTGATTTTTGAAATATCAGTGAGGTAGTTAGTTTATGGTGCCAACCAGGCCAATAAACACATGTGGGGTAGATTGAAGGGCAGAGGGATAAATGGCTCAGTGATCCTTGCCTTTCTAGTTCTCAGGTCTCTTGCTTTCTGATGGTCGGACCAGGGTACAGCTGCCTTAGCCAGTAGCCTGCTTTAGCTGGCAAGGCTCACTTCCTGCAAGACATCCCTGAGGAGAAGCCATATGGACCTACCCCGATGCAGCCCTGGGTGCTGGAGCAGCTGTGTAGAGACCCCTGCCAGTGCTGAGATGCTTACACAGCCACTGACTCGGCTTTCCTCCTGCAATCAGCATCATCGCGTCTGTTTTGTGAGATGGAGAAGGACTTTGTGGATTGGTGTCGGACATATGGGTTACTGGGTTGGACTTGTGGGCAGTTAACCTTTATATAAAACTCTCTTATACATGAGTTTCTGTGGATTTGTTTCTTTATAGTACCCAGACTAACACAATCGGTGACATCATTTTTAGCATCACAGAAATATGCAAGCCACTACAGCAAACAAACGGATAAAAGGGTGGTGAGTCATCCTTATAGGTATGTGGCTATTATACTAATGCTGACAGCATTAGTAATTTCAATACTATTTGTATTAAATACTAATATTGTATTAAATACAATAGTATTTCAGGATAGATTTTCAAATGTTTTCTTTCATAATGAGTGTGATTCTCATCCTCTTTAATTAGTCATTCCTAGCATGGTAGATCATATGATTGTCTGATTCAAAATGGCCAGTACTAGTCCAATTCCGTTAATGACTAGGATACCAATCTTTATGTGTCCCATTTCATTTCCAAGGACTTCATTGATCTCAATTCACATTTCATACAGTCCACATTCTGATTAATAATGGGTGTCTACAGCTGTGTCTTCTCCTTTTGAATAAACACAACAAAAAGCAAGGCAAAGGGTAAATACAACATCCAGGAAACTATAAATGAACTAACTAATATTGTAGCCTACTAACCTACTAACTAACTAGTTAGTTAGCTATGAACTAATATTGTAAATCCTAAGGGGGACGTTCTAGTCTTTCCTACAGTGCCTCTGTAAGTCACAATTGACTCAATGGCACACAGCAATAACAATTGCAACCTTGAGTTCTCACACAAGTCAACCAAAGTTACCATAATTTAGTAAAGCGAGGATTTGTTATTGCAGAGAAGGGCAGAGCTGTGGGAGCTGTGCTTTCTACACTAGTACATTATAAATGAGCAGGAATCAAGTGTCTATATAGCCACTGAATGAAAAAAAAAATTTCCATTCTTCCTAGACCTAATTCTGTGACCATCCATGACTTAAACATGATTTCAAGAATTATATTTGTAAACGAAAGCAGTTTTAAAAAAAGAGAGATGTAAACCAAGAAGGTAAATTCTATGCATAATAAATCCTTAGAACAAGATTATTGAACTGGGGGAATAAAAAGCCATGTCAGTATTGTCCACTAGCTTTTATTGTGCTTTATTATATAGTGATTTAATAAGTTAACCATTAGATTGCTAATGAAATGGTTGGTGGTTCAAATCTACTAACTGCTCCAAGGGATAAAAATGAGCCAGTGTGCTTTCATAAATATGCACAAATTCCAAACTTCATGTTCTCTTCTGTTCTATAGGGTCACTACGAGACAGGATCCTCTCAATAGCAGTAGTCAAGCTCTTGAGAGTTAATAAACTAAATGCATAGGAAACTAAGTAGGTTTTGGAGTTTTCATTATTATGGATTATCTCATTAAAAATGGTATTTTTAATAGATTGGATGATGGTTTCCACAGTTACTTAGGTTCCCATTCAACAATTTCTGCACAAATTGTTCGCTGACATTGGTTATGCTCAGTGCATGAACACTCTTATTTCCCTCTGGTTGTTCCATTTCCATTCATCTTGCTTCCCATCACCTCGTATTCTCATAGTTGTTTTAAAATCATTGTTAACTGATTGGCCTCATGTCATGATTTTTTTTAAGCAGCAGTTATTCTTTATTTTGTGAGCCAATGTATTATGAAGCTAAAAGCTAATGTCAGAGTCTAGTTTTATGTCAAAGTTTAAAAGTATTATGAGGCAATCATCTGGAGGAGTCCTCCAGTCTCAGCCAGTTTAGTAAGTCTATTGTTTTAAAATGTATCAGCTATTCCATATTTTTCTCCCATTCTATTAGGATCCAACTGTTGTGACCTTCATCAGAGCAGTCAGTAGAGGTAGCCACGCACCATCTAATGCTGTTGGTCTTGGGGCAGATCAGGACATGACTCATGTAGACTGTGAATCCTGTGGACTAGTTCCTTCTTTCTCTCTTGTTCTGGATGAGCAAAAATCAATACTTACATCTAAAGTGGTCATTCACAATCTTTTCGGGCCACAAACACTACTCACCAAACTAGGATGCAGAACATAAATGTATGACTATAGTATGCCAATGATTGAGAGGTTACATGAGACTATAGTTCCAAACCTTCAATCCTCTCCTCAAAAAAAAAAATCCTATGAGGTGTTTAGTTATGCCTAAGAAGCATTTGTAACTGTGCTTTATTATATATATATGAATATATATATACATGCCATTGATACACAAACACCTACCTATATACACCTACGTATATACTCACGTACACAGACTTATGGATATGCCTAAAACCAAAACCAGACTCCTCCCCTCGAGTCAATGGTCTTCACAATGACTCTCCAGGACAGAGCAGAACGGCCCGGTGGGTTTCTGTGACTGCAACTCTTTATGGGAATAGAAATCCCCATCTTTCTCCAGCATAAACACAAATAGGAGCTTATTGTACATGTGAGTTGTCGGCTGCTTTTGCTGTCGCTTCAAGGTTCTCCATGCCGTAAGCTTTGCCGGGTCCCTTTCTTCGTGCGTGCGCCTCAATGACAGCAGTAGCTTTCTCAGGCTGCGCACACCTCATCCGCATTCAGTATTATCTTGGTCCTTTCCCAGGTAGTAACGCCTTCTGCATTGGGAAAGAGAGAAATGTCATAGGTGATGGAGGTTTTAAGTTCCCTTCACTTATTTACCCAAGAGAAGCCATGTGCAAAGAAGTAAGCCGTGCCTTGGGGAGAGTTCATGGCCCAAATGCACCAGGAAACTGAGCAGCAAATGAAAAAGGCCCCGAAACCGCAGTCCATCCCCAGCAGTCCTCGGACTCAAAACCACAGGAGGTGGGCTGCTAATGGCTTTTAAATAGCGAAATGTGTGTGTAATCGTGTTGGAAGCATAAAGGACACCCCAATAGTGTCAAAAGTGGCAGCTGACAGCAAAGGAACCAAAAACCATGATTGGTAATAAAAATCAACTGGAGTCATTTAGTGCATAACCGTGGTTCTGGACCAGTAGGGTCGCAATTTCTGACAACTGAGAATGCAACTTCACAGGCTCTATTCCATCTAAACCTCGAAGGGATTAGAGCAGGCTTTGGTCTAACAAGTCCTCCAGGTGGGTCTGACGCACACTCAATTTGAGAACCACTCATGCAGGAACAGGAGCCTTGGTGGTGTAGAGCTTAGAAATTGGACTGCGATCTACATGGTCAGCAGTTTGAAACCACCAGCAATTCCTTGGGATAAAGACTTGGCTTTCTACTCCCATAAACAGTTACACTCTTGGAAACCCACAGGGGGGTCACTATGAGTCAGCACTGACTCGATGGCATTGAATTTGATTTGGAGTTTGGCACAGGGACAGGTTAGCAGTTCAAAACCACCAGTTACTCTGAGGAGAACAGGAGAGGTTTTCAACTCTCCTAAAAAGTTTCAGTCTTGAAAACCTATGCCTCAGAACTGACATGGCAGTGTGTTTGGATTTTTGATTTGGTGCAGGGACAAAGAGCCAGTCACCAGATAGTGGCCAAGTGACCAAAAGTACCACATCTCTGGTCACAAAGCCCTGGGTTTACTCTGCACTTCTCTATTTAAACATTCTAGGTCAATTTATAATCGCACCTATCTTAGAGGCCTATTGTCGGCATGTAACAGTGAACTTTGGGAAAGCTAGACCATAAGTAACATTAGCGATTGCTTCATCCACTAGGTCCCTGGGTGTCCCATTGGTTTCTGCCCAGCTGCTAAACGAAAAGTTGGGAGGTACATTGTCCCACAAAAGGAAAACCTGGCAGTGTGCTACTATCAAGATTATAGCTCAACAAACTCTATGGAGCCCAGAGCTAGTCTGTAATAACCCAGGGGGCACGCTGGCTGCGACTCCCTTGGATGACATCAACAGGTTTGATTTGAGGTCTGATTGTCAGCTTCATCATATCACTCCTGAAGACATGACAATATTCTTTCACTATGTAATAAGAACTTATGTTATCTGGTGCTATTATAATAGATGCATTAAAAGAGGGGATTTTTAACAAAGAGAAATGTATTTTCTCACAATTTAGGAGACTAGAAGTCTAAATTCAGGGAAAGGCTTTCAGCCTCTGCCTGATTGGGAGGAAGACCCTGGTCTCCTTTCAGCTTATGTTCCTTGGCAATCTTCATGTGCCATGGGTTTTACCTTCTCCATCTCAGCCTACTTCTCTGTGCCAAATATGCTCATTTTATAACACAAAGGTGATAGGCTGAAGAGGTCATGTATACTGACACATATGGTCTCATTAACATATCAAAGGAAAGTCTATTCCCACATGGAAATACAAGTGTAAAAAACTCATTGTCATTGAATTGATTATGACACAGGGATCCTATAGGACAAGGGCGAACTGCCCCTGTGGGTTTCCAATACTGTAGTTCTCTACAAGAGTAGAAAGCCTCATCTTATACCCCCGGAGTGGCTGGTGTTTTTGAACTGCTAACTTTGCAGTAAACAACACAAGGCATAAAGCCAGGTCCCTTTTTCCCCAAGCAGAGGAATTAGGGTTTCCAAGCCATATTTTGTGAGGCTCACAACTCAGTCCATAAATTAATGTTCAGCATATCGTGTAAAAGGAAACAAGATGGATACCATTTTATAGTAAGTTTTGTATTCAGTATTCAAGGGGTTGAATTAATGATAACACTTCTATAGTAATCCTGATGTATTTAGCATCATTCTAAATGCTTTACAGAATTTCATTTGTTTTACTCTGCTCACTGGGGTAGACAAAAGAAGTTAAGTAAAATGCTGAAAGTTAAAAAGCTATTAAGTGGTAGAGTCAAGATTCAAAGTCAGATAATATGCCATGTACTTAATGACTCTGCTAAGCTACTTTTGAAAATTAAAAACAACTTTTGATTTTCAATGCAGAATTATCAGCTGTCTAAAAGAGGACACTTACTGTCTCATTCTCTAAAATATTAGAAAAATAAAGCATCTTTATCCTAAACTCTTTTTTAATAGTTTTATTGGCACATACTTCACACGTCATACAATTTAATCATTCAATCATTTTAAGATTTGTGCAATCATCACTACAATCCATTTAGAACATTTTCTTCTTTTACTCATTATTATGAGCTCCCCAACCCCCACCCTCCCCTGCCATGCCTCTACACAATTATCAATCCAGGTACTGTCTCCATAGATCTACCTATCCTGGCTATGTTATACAGAAAACCATACAGAACACTGTTCTTATTTCTGCTACTTGTTCTGTAAGCTTCTCTTCTGTGTGCATTAAATGCACCCAATGATTTTGATGGACAATCTGGTAGCCGCAAAAGTGGCCTAGCTGCTGCCACTCAAAGAGCAAGAAGAAAAAGCTAGAGAGGGATGAACACAGTGGAAAAATTCATTGCGTTCCCCAGCTTCTAATTTTCTCATGGCAAGGGCATTCCAGGATAACAGCAAACTATACCCTCCGGCAGCAACAGTATCTGTGCTGTGTCTGAGTCAGATGCTCAGACAGCTGAATGCACTACAAGGAAGTAAGAGAACAGAGCTCACAGGGAACAGACTGCATTGCTCCTAGTTACCCTCTCTTCCTCTGTGCCTGATCAAACTGCTGGGATAACTATGTCTGCAGGGAAGGAAGCAGATTTCTTGACCTTGCTTGATAGATTTTATTGGGCATTTTGTCAGGGCTCTCAAAACTTCTGAGTTCCTAACCAGACCAATCAGTCTCCAAAGTAGTACAATATGAGGCTGTTTTTGGACAGGCAAGTTATAAGACAGATCAATTTGATTCTTCATTCGTTTATTCTCCCCAGTATTTGAACATCTACCAAATTCTTTAGATTTCTTAAGGTAACTAACTGAAATCATGTACTTACTGACTCAGCACTCTCAAATGACAATAGTCCCAGACTACTGTGTTTGATTTAAAAAACACAAAAACTTGTTTACTTTCCAATGCCAGAAATATATCTACATCTAAATTGAGAGTGTGTTCTCCCTCCCCTTCTTCTGCTACCCACTCCCATTCTCCCTGCCTTCCTCTCTTCCTCCCTCCTTCTCTCTCCCTTTGGATCAATCAGCACCCCAGGCCCCACCAAAAAAGAAAAAAGAAAGAAAGAAATTGAGAAAGTGTGAGGTTAGATTTTCTCCTATTATTTAGGATAAGAAGACTCAATAGACCAACCAGGTTTGTGATAGAATAAAAATATCAGCGAACGAGCTACCCCTCTTGTTAACTCTTACCAGAAATGGCCTCTCATTTCTCACGCCTGCAATCTCTGTGCACTTTATCATCAAAACATTCCATAATACAGAGCAACTGGAGGCAACAAGATCTTTTGTCATTCAGAGAAAATTTTCCTTCCACTGTTCCTGTTTATTTATGCTAACATTAGACCTTTTTCTACCATAAGCTTCTCATCCAACCTACCTGCAAAGAATCACTAAAAGTAAACACTTTCTGAGCTTTTTCTGTTGACGTTTTGTTGCTTGCTGCTCTGGCCTGTCAGGGTGATTCCAAGCCACACAGCAATACTATAGGGCAGAGTTGAAACACCCCTTCGCCTTTCCTAGGCTGTGATCAGCGCAGGCGCAGGTTGCCAGGCCTTTTCTGACATCGATGTGTTGATGTGTAATATCAATGAATCAACATTGAGGTATGGAAAGTCTTAAGGACTATTCTCTATTTTACTTTTGGGGTTCTAATATCCATTGCAAGGGCTGCACAGACACTCACAGACAAAAGTCCTGACTAAAAGGTCGTTAAGGACATTAACAACTAGTAGTGCCAGAGAGAAATGCTCAGTGTAGTTGTTTACCAGAAATGTGACAAGGTTCCAGATCTGCTAAAAAATGCCCAAAGGGGCACCCTCTCTATTGTGATCACCAACCCAAAGGCATTCAGCTCAAGCTCCTGGGTCAGCAAGCACAGCTCCCTGAAGGAAGTGCCCCGTGGTACCCCATTTCGTGAGCCTCAACCCCAAAGCATTCAGCTCCACTGTTTGTGAGCCAGCAAGTGGAACTTCCCCAATTAAGTGTCCGAGGCACCCCACCCCACAAGCCAGCCATCTGCACAAAAGGACTCATCTCAACTTGCTCCATGCTCTGGCTCCTGGTTCTGCTGCTACTCCATTGATGGTACAGCTGTCATCTGGATCTAGGAGGTTTATTGTGCAGGGATCTTGGGTCCAGAGGACATGCTCCATTCCTGCCTCTTTCTGGTAATGAGATCCTGCCTCTTGCTACTCAGAGGGTTCATTTTATGCAAGGCAGGATGGCTTTCCAGATAATTCTCTTTACAGTGACTCACAGGTGAACCCTATCACTATCTTCCACAACCTTCTTACCATACCAGACCTATGCAGGGAAAGGATATTTGGTGAGAATTAGAGACATTGCCTAGAAGAGCCACACTCAATAAGTCACTGCCTCTGAAAGACATTAATATTAACTTTGAGTGTGATTAAAGTATTTATCATTAAATTTGGTGACTAATTTCATGTAGGAACCAAGCTTCCCACATGACAGAAGAGGAATAGGTGAGGTCTACAAAACAAATTGCCTTGATACCTTCTGTAACATAGGTTTTAGGCAACTCACGTATCAGAAAAGGCTTTCCTATAAAA